TGGTTGGATAGGCATAGACACGATCATTTTATAATTTAGTTTCTTAGTATGAAAGATCTCCGTAGGATTGATATCTGCAGGCCCAACAATATTCTGTGGTTGGTATTACAGATAATGCAATTCATTGGCTTGGGGACGTCTTTAGATAGTTTAGAATTGAGGTCACTCGCGGAAATTTCTACTTTCTACATAGAAGTAGGGAGGACCCACTTAACTGTAAGAAGTCTTACGCTATATTGTTATACGAATCGTTCCATATATGATGAATCATCATTGTACGTTTATCGTATTTTAAGACCATTTTCTCTTTTATTTCTTCGCAATGTTATCTCTATTTCCTAAGGTACATACTGTTTATAGTGCTTGGTCTTATTAGTCTTTGATGTATATTACATTTTGGTGCACTGTTGTAGTGTCAGTTATCATGCCAAGCCCATATACCTTATTCTAACTTCCGGACATCCTATTTTATTCATTTTACTTGAGCCATATTTTGACCTTGTCATTTATTCGCTTATCAACTAGACTGTTTTTATATGAGCGTATATGTGTGTGCACTTCTTATTTCATTAATCACATGTCTGTACCTTTAATTTGTCTGATTATAAATATTGAGTAATGTTCGGCTTGAATTGGAGTTGGTTTCCCAGCCATCTTCCATACAATCTAAAATGGGATTCGAGAACCACGGGCCTCCACAAAAGTGGTGAGCCCTCCAACGAGTATCGCCGATCTAAATGAGGACAAAATCAAACTACAGGCTTCTAAAAGTGGTAAGCCCGCCGACGACGAACGCAACTCAGCAAGCTACGTCGATGAAGGAACTTCTACACTCTATACGTTCGACGAACAAATTCAGCGAAGCCAGCGCAATATCCAATCCGATGCAATCAGCAAAGCCTGTGCATCATGGTATGGACATGCCCAAGTCGTATTATCTTATCGATACTTTGTTCTCATGTCAACCATTCTCATTGATCCATTCGTCGGTTTGTTCCATTACGATTCAAATTATCATTGTATGCTTATTATTACATTATTATCAATATCATGACCGAATGTGGAATTATTAATCTTGTTCGTGCTGTCATTAAATTATGACATTTTCGCAATCATATCACTCACCGAACAAATTATCATTTTATGAAAATTCCACTCCACTTTGTGAGAACTCATTGGAATATTTTTACTATTCAAAAACGTGAAATTTTCCTGCTTTAAGTGAATTCGTTCCAATTTTTCATGTCATTTTGAACTAATATTGCATTCATTCACTTAGTCGAGGTCAGCAATTTATATTATCACAACATACATTTTTCATTTCGAAATCGCCTCCTATTATGTCTGTGGATGCTTCTGACTAGATGACTAGTAACCATTACGTTCATTTTATCTATTCTTCCACGTGCATAACTACATGCTGCATCACTTATCACTCAAAAACGCTATTCGAGTACTGCAACTACTATTCTATACCCATCGCATAGTATATCAGAACATAGAGTTTAGAGCTAGCCTCTCAAAGATACACTCTTGTTCGTCACATCCAAGTCAGTCTCATACGTCACCGTCGCTTACCATATGTATTGGTATTTCTGTCATGCCTTGGTACGGTTTTGTAACAAACGTGGTCAAGCGCATCTCCCTCAATTCACACAAACCACTCTAAGCTTCTCGACCAAAAAGTAATACGAATCTACGTACCTTGTCTACTCAGTCACTACTCTGTTCCTCTGGTCATTCTTCTACTAATACATATTTGACGATAACTCAATGCATGTCATAACGCAGACGACAACGTTCACTGACTTTATATTTTATGATTATTATCAATTGCAGTACAGCAACGAATATCACCGTTCGATGCAGATATCATTTCACGACTTGCCTATTATCATCCTACGAATGGGAACTACGCATTTAAATTCGAATTCACTCGTCGCTAGTCGATGCTATTTATTCTGCTGCGGCTCAACAGAACATATATTTAACGTATTTCACTATTTCGTCACCATCACAGACCAATTTCTGTCATATTCTACTCTAGCCATTTTGACGATTTATTTCCCTGTCATACCCACAAACAATTTATTACTATTTTCACGATATTTTGAATCACTCATACAGACGTGTTATTTTATCGTTCAGACAATCACAGCATTGGTACATGTTAATTTTTTGTACGCTCATTAATTTGCTCATATTCACATGCTAAAATTTTCATTTTTGTCCGCGTCTTTGCGATATTCATGTATTTTTTGCATAAGCATGACATTTTCATATAATACACTCACCCCTCATGTGACACTACTTTATCGAGTGTTGTACAATTTTTTTTGGCTACTTATTGTTAACGTTAGCTTCAGATCACTTCAGTGTTATTTTCGAAAACAGACATTTTTTCAAATGTGCTATTTTCTACGAGGGGGCTATGTAGTGTCAGTTATCATGCCAAGCCCATATACCTTATTCTAACTTCCGGACATCCTATTTTATTCATTTTACTTGAGCCATATTTTGACCTTGTCATTTATTCGCTTATCAACTAGACTGTTTTTATATGAGCGTATATGTGTGTGCACTTCTTATTTCATTAATCACATGTCTGTACCTTTAATTTGTCTGATTATAAATATTGAGTAATGTTCGGCTTGAATTGGAGTTGGCTTCCCAGCCATCCTCCCTGCGCGTCATTTTCGCTTTGTTCTATCGCATTCACTTTACACACAAAATATATGTATTCTCGTTATTTGACTTATTTAATTCCGTTATGGACTAACGTGATTTAAGTCGACGATGATAAACGAGAATAGGTGATAACAATCATTCGTACAATGTAAATGGAGTCAGATCAACGGATCACTACACTGTCGTCCCTGATTCCCGACATTTCTCCAAGTGATCTGTATGGGGTATTTAAGACCATGCTTTTGCTGTCCCGACTGCTTTAGTGGTAATATATGAGTTCGGTTTGAGGTTGTGAACTTATTGTAAATGCATTATCATAGTTACTAGACACTATGATATCCACATAAATCCCTACAATTCATTGAATTGATTGTAATTTTTACTAATTTACCCCCAAGCCGTAAGAGATTATGGAGAAATATGAAGGAAAATATATCGTTTGTTAACGTTTCCATAGATAACTGGATTTTTGAGGAACAGGACACACGGTCGTAAACTGGGGTTTGGAGATAGTTGACAGGAAACTGTGAACCCAGGTTTTTCGCTGTTTTGCATTCGTTAACAACATTTGCCTGTGGTCTTAAGGGTACTGGTTTTCACTAGTGGATTCAATCATGTGTCTTAGTGCTGGTCCTATTCTATCCACAAAAGATCGAATCGTTCAGGGGGCATCATTGCCCTTAGGATTACATGTACACCTTGCTGGTGAGGACTGAAAAGCACAAAGCCCGGAATCAGTTCTTCTCTCAACTACTTTCAACCACCACCTCACGTCTCAACATTGTGCACGTGATGACGAGTAGATTAGACTAGTGGCCATGTTGCAACTTGATCGATAGAATTCGGTTAGCTCTAAAAGGGCTAGACAGTCATGACACCGGCCACTTGTGAGTGATCAGTCAATTTTTCAAGTTATATTTGTATCACCCTAAGAAAGACTTAATTAAAAAGCTAACTGGACTGTCCTTTAAACATCTTCCCAAATTTATTCAACTAATTGTTGGTTGGATATATTGTTTGTTTTTTCATACGAATAGTTAACAGTTGTTAAAGTCATTTGTGCATTTTTACACGAAATATGTTCGAATTTTGTCAGCTTCTTTAAATAAATCAAAAGCTGGTTGCCAGCAGTCATTATTATGGTCAAGTTTAGTCGTGGATACCAGTTGCAATCAATCACTTCAGTGATGAACGTCAGTAATAAACATTTCCTAGTTCATAAGGACTTGTATTTCCACATGGATGATATTCAGTTTTATTTGATCATTCTGTGCTGGCATGCATATCCATCCTATGTACAAACCTTTACACTGCCTATAGTTAAAATCCTAATTATATTTTTGGGAGTGTAATTAGCAATGGGATTCGAGATGTGTCTTAATCTTTGAGTTTGTACTTGAATTCCATATGTTGATCTCTAGACCATGATTCGAACCCAGTACTTATCTCTCCAAATTACGACACACAATCCACTAAGCTACTGAGCTTAAAGATGAAATGATGTATTGCTATCATTTGAACAAAATGTAGTTATTTTAAACTACTAATATAATAGATAGTCATATGTTGTTGGAGCTTCGTGTTAATTGAAACGACTTTAATGGATTTATCTATCAGTAATTATAAAATACAATGTTATCTGAAGTATTTTGATAGTTTGATTAATTCGTCAATAGAAAAAAAAACAAGATTCATTGCATTTGTTGGCAAACTTCTAGAAAATTACGTTTCACTTTACAGGCACTTACAGATTCCTTTGCTTTATCTCGGAAGAAATCTATTCAATAATCTCTGAAAGTGACCGGCAAGATTAAGATAGACCTACAAGATTTTGAAAAGTTATAATATGTAAGTTAGTCAAATTTCGTGTAATTAGTCCATCCTCCTTCTTAACCCTTGAGACACCACCGTACTTATTCATACCTCCTCAGAATCAAACGGCTTGATGTGGATTTTGTTAGTGATAAATTTATACTGTTGACATATTCCAATTTATCTATATTTTGATAAAAAAGCCAAATAGTATTGAAAAATACCCGGACTGCACCATTTATAGTCATGGTCTGGAATATATCTTATCTTTGTCTAGGACAAAAGAACAGTTATATAAAAGTGCTAATAATTTGCATACCTAATTATTTGGTTAGCCGATCTCAGCTCTTATCTGTTATTTATCAGTTCCCTCTCTTTCTCTCTCTCCCTTGTATGGTAGGTGCGCGGCTAGATTTACACGAAACATGTGTGTATCTGTATTTGAGTAGGACAACAGTAGAATAATGACAAGAAATATTGTTTATGTATAAATATACGTTTTAAGTAATCTTTTTGAAATGTATACTATCATCATTATTGTCAGTAGTTTTAATTAATTCATCTAAATATTTCAAATGATCTAAAATAAAAGATTCTATACAAAGTCTAAGAAAATGTTTACAACATAATTCCTCAACATTTAACAATGGTTCCGTAATTAAATGTTTCATGGGCATATCCATTATTGTTTCATTCATTACTGGTACACTAAAATAGATTGATATAAAAATCATATAATGAAACGTATTTAATTTACATATATATATAACATGTATGAAGGGTTGCACAGTGGCTAGCAGTGGAATAGACGACTGGCGTTTATTGATCTTAGTGACCAGTTAGTTGGATATAAAAGTATTCATAGTAATACCCACATCTAGAATTTCACCCAATTTCTTTCGCTTCAAACGCCCAACTGAATATCATCCAATAAGCTATTGAGTTCAAATATTTACGAGCTTGTGAAACAGGTATGAATTTTTTTTAGGATTTCTAGTCTCCCAATATTGATGGTAAAGATTACAATTGATTAGTCCATTTATGGCATATTTGTGTTAGCTCTATTTTGGCATCTAGTCAAAAGCTTTTAGTAATGTGGGGGGATTAAAATGTATTCCATTGATGAGTTCCAAATAGGGACAAACGCTCACTCTGGATTCCACGGATAGCTAGTATCCGATAACACTAAAATCTTGAAACTAAATTACAATTAGAAGCAATTCATTTAGGTTGTACATATACCAATGGAGATTGACCAGCTGGAGTCCTTACCATCAACAACGGGAAAGTACAAACCCTTACAAATAAAATACATTTCTTAATTTGAGGTTAAATGTGATTTTTATAAATTACTAGACTATTCATAAGTTGCAGTGATGCACTCCCATGATATAGTGTTAATTAGATTAATGTCAAGCGGTTGAACGTAATTTCTGAGAAGTACTATTTTTCCTAGGTTACCAGATAATTGGTAATTGTAAGGCCTATATATCTAAAATATTGAGGGAACATACAAATCAAGTGAAACGAGATAGATCATAAGATCTATCACATAGTCGATGAAATACAATAACTGGTAATATGTTTCGTGTGAGGGAATTATCCACTAAGCGAAGGTCATAGTCTTTACATCGTTATATTGGTCAGCATAGCCACTGAGTTATTATTATTATTATTTGGTTTTTGACAAGAAAAGCTTTCTACTCAATCCTCTGTTCTGACCAAACCCAATCGACTAAGTTTAAGTGTTTGAATTTCAATTCCTCGAATAAGATTCAGTCGATAAGACAGAATTTTCCTTATTTTAACTTATAATTCATAAAGATTTCATTACGACTGGCCTCATAAAGTAATTTCTATCCTTTTAAGCCGTACCTGATAACGTCCTAAGCCACTGATCCGCTATGATTTTCAAGAACTCAATCAACAGATCGTGGAGGACTGATAGTTATATCCTATAATCACATACCCCTAACATAAACTAACCTCTCTGATTTTCCCACCAAGATCCCACATTAGAAAATAGTGTCGTTGAAGCCTCTAGGATTAGATTCGTAAGATTTATTCAATCCAATGAAGAGAGTGTTTGAAAAATGTGACAAAAGTTGGATTACTACTACTGTGCTGGGAAATACATTAAAGAACCATGGTATTACTTAGATATCCATTGAAAATTAGGGAACTATGGACAGTTTTTTCACCTTAGTATGTGATTCTTAAGCAGCAAGACAAGCATAACCGTCATCAATAAATAACTCACACAATATAGCGGAGTGACTTAGGAAGCAAATGTGAACCAATGTGCGATGAGTCAATGACCTAAAATTTAAGCGCTCTTCGTGAACCCTGAAATTTCTTGGTTCCACCTATGGTAAGATTACGAGAGAGCAACTGTTATGGAGGCCAGTCTTATATTAAGACAAAACATTCGTCCAGTACTCTACAAATTTCTATATTGGTCTAAATATAGTCAATTTATGACGCAAATTTCCTTCAGAACGTATTAAACTAGCTGTTAGATAATGAGGTAGTAGTAGACCATAATTCTACATTGGTGAGCCCAACTAAAGAAACGCAGTCTATTATTGCTAATCCTTAGATCCACCTTAACCTTCTCAATCGATTTTTATTTGTGTAAATCCATTATTCTAATAGTCCTCTGATTAATGCTTACATGCATTATCGTAATGTTATTTTGATTAGTACTCATAACATACAAACTCAATCGATATCAATAACCGGTTATCTATATCAATTAGCTTTGATGGTTCATTAACAAGCTTTAATAGCATTTACATGCTTCTGCGGAATAAACTTGTTTAAACATCTAGCTCTATCTAAAAATAACGTGAATATACATAGACTAACAATGCAATCAAGGACTAGATAGTCATCTGGATCTAATTCTTATTGTTCCTTCACTTAACACATCATCCTGTTTTTAAACTATGCACTATCCTGTAATATCTTTCTTCTGACCACTGCCTGCCTAATTTCAAATTTGCGAGTTCCATTGCCAAACAACAAGGATGACACTTCTCTAAAAACACGGTGAGTTTCAGCCATAAGTTTTCTGCAATCATAAGGTCATTTTAGATGGCTCGTTCAATGGTGACCGCACAATTATCTGAATTCATTCGGTTGTTCTAATCCGAGCGAGTGGCAAAAACGTCAACAGCATCAAGCACCCTGGGATTAATTGCCATACTGCATGTTTTATTCTGGATACTTTTGGATCATTACTACTCCTCACGAATGGCGTTATATATGTCGTCCACTGAATAATCTAATTTTTAGAAATAATCCAGGCGAGTTCAACTATCTTACTTAATGATTTTTTGTACTGAACATATATATGTTTTCTAGTTGCTTTCGCCATATATTTGTAAGTGTCCCTAGGCTGAATGCAGTAACTTCTTATGGAATGTTTATAACGCGTCATATTCCTGCCTGAAGTTTCATAAGCAGCCTGGTCGTGTTCATTATTTTTTAATTGTCATATACGTCAACAACCTGCTTGTTAACCTGACCCACACACGCGTTGCACTATATCTTCATGTCTTCTAAATTTAGAAATCATCTGAATCGTCCTGAATATTTATCAGTAAACCCATCATAGTCGTTGTTGCTAATCGTATTTGGGTTTATGAATTGGTTTATCATATTACCAGCCTAAAATGCGAACATAGTTTAGATAATAAGATTAAAAATTTAGGTACTATCAACTGCACTAGTAAAATAACTAAATCCCCAGGTAGCTGTTGGCTAAACAAACGTTTAAAATCAAAACTCCGTAGTCTACTAGAATTAGCACTAGACGAATATTTCTGAATTGAAATTTATAATTAAATTAGGCGTCTCGGATTCTTTAACGTTATAAATTTCTGATAATTTCGAATCACCTAAAGCAACAATACCTATTTTTCCACTGACTAATCCTCATTCAACACTATAACTAGTTAAATTTAATAGTTTCAGGATATCATCATAAAGCATTGTCATAACTTGACAATCACGTAATATGACTGATAAAATTAATGAAACTATTAACAAAATCGGTCAACAAATTGACTTAGAATTACCATGAAATGGTGTTGTTTTCTTGGTATCATCATCCATCACAGATGATTACAGTATGTTTCTCTATCAGTTGCTCATTAAGTAAATATCTCAAAACCTTGTCAGTCTAATTGATGGTTTAGCGACACAATAATGCATGCAAATAATCAGTATAAGCAGTTGAGCAAATCTCCTGCAAACTGAAAACATCAATGTCGAATTTACCCCAACACTGACTAAGGTTTAAGCCATTATAATAGACATGAGTTGGGAGTGTACTCCCCTTGGTTACAACTTATGTACTCCCTGATAATCACATGAGCATCACTCACTATTAATCATCTTGTAAAAACTTATTTAGCTAAATACATTTTGCAGCACCACATCACTTCGTAATATGACACTGGCCTAACTGATTTTAATAACTTATAACCACTATATCTCAATTAAATCGTATTTCGCCTTATGATAAACTGCATACTTGCAACTAACTTGTATGCATCGTCAGCGGTCAGGTATAAATATGTATAAATAGTCTATGGCAACTCAGAACATTGGGTCTAGAGCATGTCTTTCACGAATACACTCATGTTTAACGATTTGATCTTAGCTATCCATCCAAAATTACATAATTATAACTTTTCACGCATTTAAAATTTTTTGGTAACCATTCATATGCATTAGTAGTATTACTAAATTTTATCACGGTCAAGGAAAAATGAGGTCGGAGAAATCTCAACATAACTAAGTAAACAGTATCAAACTAACTGGAACACTAGTTTGAATTCTTCTCCACGGTAATACTTTTGTTCCTTCAGTTAGCCTACTAATACAGATGCAATTGGAATTCAAATCTTATGGACAACTTACCGGCATAATCGTTATCTGATTTTATAATTTAAACCAAAACTAATACCAATATTGACATTTCTACAATATTCATCACTTTAATATTTCTAAACACAAAATACTTACTACCTATACGTTAAGTTATTAACCAACGGCTATTAACACGCATCGTTTTGATATTATTATTATTACTATTATCATTATTATTATTATCATTATTATTATCATTATCATTATTAATTATTATTATTATTATTATTATTATTATTATTATTATTATTATTATTATTGTAATCCCATTTTTATAGCCCAAATAGTCTTCACCCAAATTTTCATTTTAAGTGTGTTAAGCATGAAGCAGATGTTTTAAGATTATTACATGTATTTCCCGACCAGATGCTGCCGTCTTTTTGATTTATCTTTCAGCTTATCAATACACGGAGGATCCTTACTAGTCTTGGTAACCTTCGGCGCACGACGATCCCATCCAATTCGGTATCGAACCAACATCACGTTGATTCTGGTGGGAGAGTAGTGTAGTGGCATTGAACAATAACCGCACAATCCACTAATCTGAACACGAGACTACTCAGAAAATAGATATTCAATATTTAACGCGGATAAATACCTAACAATTGAGAAGGCGCGAACAATGAATTGAATGGATTAGAGTTGATCGAGTGGCATGACTCGGCCATGCAGGCGTGGTCCCTGCTGGATGTTATCTTATATCTCCTATTAATATTAAATATATTGTTCTTTCTCTAGCCTAAGCTTGTTCTTCATCATGTATTGGTAGTTGTTACGATACGGTGAGTTGGTGTAG